TGTGTCGGGAAGGCCCACGATGGGCGTAAACAATATCTGTTGTTGTTATTGTCATTGTTATAGAATACGTCTTGTCCTCATTTCAATCCCGAGGTGGGGCACCTCAGAGAGTATCTCATCTAGAGGAGAAAGAATACTGACTGACCGGAGGCTGGGAGAACAGAATCTGACCCGCTTCGAGAGTAGCGCCAGGGAGGGACGCGAGGGGCCATGGCTGACCTGCGCGCAGGACGGTGGGAACCTGCAGCATCTGTAAGTCAAGCGGAGATCATGGTCCAGGAGGAAAGGAAGCGCGAGGTCGAGGCTGTGGTTGGTGTGAAGGATCACGTCTTCGGAGAGGCTGGAAACAGGAAATGGAGCCCAGAAGCCAGGAAGAGAGGGGAGAGCCTGGGAGCAGCCGGGCCAGGAGGGGACCGTGGTCCAGGGTGGGGGTGGTATGCAGTGTGTGGGGCGGGCGGGCGTTCACGTGGCACGTGGTCTGCTCGGGACTTGGGGTGGGGGCTGCAGAGACTCTGTGTTGAAGGGTTAGACGTCAGCTGTTCTGTGGCGCGTTCTGGGTGCCATCTGATTGGGGACCACACGGACAGCGGACAGTAAAGCAGGAGCCTTCAGCTTTGGTTTGCTCCTTGCGGAGATGATCACCATCGCCGGCGCTTCCTGAAAGACGGAGTTGATCATAGAGTTTCTCTGCTCAGCACCTTGTCTGTCCCTTTAGTCCATGTGGGTTAATGCCCAGGGCCTTAAACCTGACATAGGATGGTGACTTCTATTTCGTAGGTGGGTAAAATGTCCCAGGAGCCCTAAATATATTTCTTCTCACCCTTCACTGCACATGTACGTGGGAGGGTATGGTGTGTAGGTCTAAGGAGTGAAATTACACTTTCCTAGAAGTTCTTCAAAGTCAGTGACCCAAGTCACTGAACCCAGGTCTTCTCCCTTCCAAGGGGCGACCTCTTTACCCTCAGACCTCTGCTACAGAGCCCTCCAGAACCGAGCCTGGGCCTTTCAGCAGAGCTCACGCACCCACCCCCAGCTCTCTGGGAGGGACACGCCAGTAGGCAGCCTACGCCCATGCTGGTGACGCTTCTGGTACAGGTCTGCGATCCCTTTCAGGGCTAGGGGATGTTCATAGTCGAAATGTACTCGTCACTCTGTACAGTGAGCTTTAAGCAATGTTACTTGAGGAGAAAAATCATTGAGGAATAAAACAAAAGAAGATGCAGAGGAATATAAAGCAAAGACAATCTTGGCTCATGAGCCCAGGATTCAGAAATGCTTGCAGACATTTAAAATAATAATAATGAGGAGGTTTCAGGATGGTGGGTTTGGAGCTGACGCCCCGGAAAGAACGCTTGAAGATGTGTTTGGTGCAAGAAAGGTGATTTTGTTAAAGCACCAGGACAGGACCCCTGGGCAGAAAGAGCTGCACCGAGGTTGTGGGGAGTGACCGGTTGGTTATATACTGTGGAGTTGGGGGAGGTAAAGTCAAGAGAACATTTATTACAGGGATTTCCATATGCTAAAGAAGACTCACAGGGTCCTGGAAGTCTAGCTGTGGTCAAGCTAAAGTCGTTTTTCCCTCTAGCAAAGCATTGAGATAGTAGTTTTTTGGGGCGCCTGAGGGGCTCAGTCGGTTAAGGGTCTGGCTTCAGCTCAGGTCATGATCTCACGGTTCATGGGTTCAAGCCCCACGTCGGGCTCTGTGCTGACAGCTCAGAGCCTGGAGTCTCTTTCAGATTCTGTGTCTCCATCTCTCTCTGATCCTCCCCTGTTCATGCTGTCTCTCTCTCTCAGAAAAAAAAAATTAAAAAATTAAAAACAATTTTTTAAAACGTTCCTGGACTTTAGGCTATTGATAACATTGCCCTTTTTCTGTAATTGTGCTAAAATATTTGTGAACTGATGGAGACTCTCGTCAGTTTAACCTTTTGTTTTCTGTCCTTTCCTTTGTTCTTGGGCAGCTGGGAGTGCCTGAGGAATATCACACATATCCCACCGGGAATGAGTTGGGGGGGGTATGTGCACCCCCAGATAGCTGACTGACCCCACGTCATCTGAGTGCTGGCCTGTTGACTGTAGGTCAAATTAAGAGGTTTGTTTAAATTATTTGGAAGACTCTAGCCAAATCCAAAAGAGTTCTTTTCAAACAATAGAAAATTCACTTACTTTAGACTAAGTTGCTCCCGGTGATTAGCTTTCCGGGGAGGGGTCCCGGGCGCTGTCCCTTTCCGGCCCTTCCCGCTCAGCTCCCCTCTTCCTCCCTGTACGGATTCCTGCCAGCATCCAGTAACTTTGGCCTCTTAAAGGTCAGGGTCTCCCCTGCTTATCTGTTATTTTTACATCACTTATGTTCCTTTGTTCTTTGTGTCTAATCTCCTCTGAGTTCACGATTCTACAGTTAACTTCTCCCCCACCCTCTGCTCCCAGTGTAGAATCCACTACAATGATTGATATAAATGAGGGAAAGGGATATAAGTCATTGTAGAAAGTGATCTTGACAACCCCTTGCCCCTAGGAGTAACTGGTACAAAAGACGGTGATGTCTGATGCCTTGTCAGAGACCTGAGTGGCATCCTCAGAGTCTGCCTTGCACGTTGATAAAAGGATGGCTAAATGAGATCTTGCAGGGGGAGAGGGGTGGGGGTCTTTTCTGACCATTTCTACATGCATCAGGTCCTGTACATGGCTCTCGACCTCACAGCAAGCCCGAGAGACGGGCCACACCTGTGAGACGGGCACACCGCGCTGACGACGGTCAGGCAACTGCACCCTACCCTTTCTGGGCGCTCAGTTTGCATTCAGAGCACAGAGCTGCCTTTGGCTTCTGCTGTGGTCCTGCCCCACTCTGTCCGCCTGCTGAGACACGTCAGGATATCTCCCCTCCCGCTTTGATAGCCACTCCCCATTCCCGGTGTGAGATGTAGCCTCCCTTCCACACTCAAGCTTCATCTTCCTCCTGAAGCTCTTCTAGTTTGATGATAAGTCTTCTACCCAGACTTATTCTCATCTTTACCAAGTGTCTTGAGCACTGATTTCACATGTACACTGTATACTGCGTACACCATATACTGCCTTATAATATCAGTTAGCTTTGTACTTGGCAAAGGGTGTTCCTGAATGGAATCTGAAGATGCCCCAGGGCAGGGAATTGTGTCTCCTACATCCCTGAATCTTTCTAAGATGCTAGAATCATTTTGTGTGCGTTCCGGTCATCGGCGGGTGTTTTGATTGATTTTGTCGTTCCTTCGTGTGTTAGGTCTTTGTCATCATGTATCCATCCCTCTGCTGTAAGTATGAGGCTGGACACGATGAATCCTCCCTTCATGGCCTCACCAGCTCGCAGGGAATGAGGGCATCTCTCACTGTCTACGTCATTTAGTCTCTCGGTTCAAAGGCGAGGTTGGACAGAGAAGGATGCCAGGCTGTCTAAATCAGTTTGGATCCTGAGAGCTGGATAGTAAGAGCTCTCCTTCTCAGAGTTCAGATGGCTGGGGACTGTGCCTGAAATTTTAACTGGATCTTACTCAGTTACGGGTTTGGGGAGCACAGGACAAACTTTCTGCTGGTGCACCATCACTGTGGGGCTTAGATCGGGTGCTGGGGGTTCAGACCGAGAATACATACTCCTAGATGCAAGGATCTGTACATTCACTCAGCGGGAAGTTGTTGAGAGGCCACTGCGGGTCAGGCACTGAGCCAGAGGCTAGGGGCACACGCCTTCCCCATCTTCCCCAAGCAGCAGGCTGTGGGAATCAGTGTGATGAATACAAAGAGAAAAACACGTGCATTCAGGAAGCAGACTGTGGGCAGGTGAGGAAGTGGCCAGAGAACATTCCTGGAGGATGGGGATGTAGAGGTGGTTTTCATGTGTGTGTGTGGAGTGTGTGGTTCGCACCAGGCACCGATGGGCACACTTGATCTGTGTAAGTGAACAAGTCTCCCAAAGGCCCTTGTTTCCGTGGGGCTTATGCTTTAGAAAGTCTGCCCATGCGGGGACGCCTGGGTGGCTCAGTCGGTTAAGCGTCCGACTTCAACTCAGGTCATGATCTCACAGTTTGTGAGTTCGAGCCCGACGTTGGGCTCTGTGCTGACAGCTAGCTCAGAGCCCAGAGCCTGCTTCAGATTCTGTGTCTCCCTCTCTTTCTGACCCTCCCCTGCTCACAATCTCTCTCTCTCTCTCAGAAATGAATAAAACATTAAAAAAAAGAAAAAGAAAATCTGCCCATGCGTAAGGAGGCAGTGGTGTTGGGGCTCTTTCGGGGTGGGAGGGGTCAGGTGACACCTGGGTGGTGTGGCTGGAAGGCAGGTGGAAAGGTGGATTCTGTTCCGAGAGCACTGAAGACTGAGAAGGAAGGGCTGCACTCACGGCTTTCTTTTTTTAATTTAGTTTTTATTTTCTTCACGTCTATTTTTGAGAGAAGAGAGAGTAGGGTAGGGGTAGAGGGAGAGGGAGACACAGAATCCAAAGCAGGCTCCAGGCTCTGAGCTGTCAGCACAGAGCCCCACGCGGGGCTCGAACTCATGCACTGTGAGATCATGATCTGAGCCGAAGTCGGCCACTCAACCGACTGAGCCACCCAGGCACCCCCACTACTTCCCCTGAGATGCTCCTGCAACAGAAGAGAATAGGCCCATCCAATCAGAATATTTTAACAGAAGCTTCTTCTCCAGGCTTGCTGACTGGGTGCTCGGTTGGGGGGAGGGGGTGCCTCACTCAGTGCCCATCGGAAAGATGGAGGGAAGGTGGCGAGGGGGTGGGTTGGTTGCCATTTTGAGGGTAGACATGATTGTGACCATCAGCGTGGGCGAGGAGTCGTCCACAGACCCGCGTCTGGGACCCCTGGTTAGAAAGAACTCCTGGGACCCAAGTGAGTTGTCTAAAGCCCCGGACCCCTCAACAGTCCCTTGGCCACTTCCCGGGGCCCCAGACAGGTGACTCCTGCCTCCGTTCTGCTGGAGGCCACACGGGGGTCTGACGCGCTCTGCTTCTCTCGTTTCAGACTGTTCTGCCATGACCACAGCGCGCTTCCGGCCGACGTGGGACCTGGCCCTCGACCCGCTGGTGTCGTGCAAGCTCTGTCTCGGGGAGTACCCGGTGGAGCAGATGACCACCATCGCCCAGTGCCAGTGCATCTTCTGTACTCTGGTTGGTCCTTCCGAAGAAAGCAGCTATTTAGAGGAATTTCGGGAGAAGGTGTCCGCCTTGGGGTTTCGTGGCACCAGGCTAATCTGTGACCCCACGTTTTTCCCGTGACTGAGTCTCTCACACAGTTGCAGAAGGAATCCTCCTTCAAATCGGTCGGGCACCGGGTAGGGGGTGGTCACAGGTGCTCAGGATCCAAATTTACCAGTTAAACAGAATTTTATATTATTGTAAATTTTTAAAAAGGTTTACTTAGTTTTTTTTTTTTGAGAGAGAGAGACACAGAGTGTGAGCGGGGGAGGGTCAAAGAGAGAGGGAGAGGGAGAATTCCAACCAGGGTCCACACTGCCAGCGCAGAGGACCCACCACCCACAAGATCACGACCTGAGCAGAAATCAAGAGTCAGACACTTAACTGACTGAGCCACACAGGCTCAGTCCCTTATTTTAAATTGAATTGAACACTTATGTGCTTGAGGTTATAAGAGTGGGTGTGCACAGTTCGAATATTCAGCTATTCGTGTCAGCTCTCAGTTCTGTGAAGAGGATGTTGAAATCACACTTAAATGCCCATAAACTGTGTCCAGCATTATTTGGGGGCAAGATGATCTGCTCCTAGTGATTATAGGGACCTCTATGTCCACCAGGCCTACTTGAGACCCAGCATCTTACCCTTCAGAAAGGGAAAAATGAGGAAGGAGGATTTATTTTCAGATCATCTTAATTGAATTCTACTTGATTGATCTTCCCATTCAAGGAATCAAAAAAAAAAAAAAAATCCAGAAAAGAAAAAAGAACTGATTTCTTCCAACCATAAAAAGCCAAAAAAGTTGCTTCTGAATTTCACAGGGTTATAAACGGGCCATCTAGGTGGCCTGCCTGTGTGTTTTTCAGATGTCTAGGTTACAGTCGGGCTCTGGCCAGCCTTCCCTAGCCTCCTGCAGGGGATGGACTGTCCCTTCCTGGTTGGGATTCACAGGCCTCGTTTCCCTCCTGTCTCATGATGTCCCCGGGACACACGCACCTTCAATAGTACCGTCTGCATTCACAGGTGGGAGACGGAGCTCTGCAAACATTTATGTCTCTGTCTTCCGACTTCTGACTTCCGCCTTAGCCGCTGGCTCTGCGGGGCAGAAGCGCTGGGTTAACTCGGGACTGGTGGCCACTGATCACTCAAGGTTCACTGGTGTACACGGCAGGGAGGCCGCCTCAGCGCTGACATGCAAGAAGTGCGTGCCATTAGAGCCTCAGGAAAGTCACTTCAACCCAGAGGACAGGCAATTGGTTTTGACATTTCCCCGAGATGGGGAAGGGGGGGAGGGAGGAGGGCGCGGGAGGGGTGGAAAGACAGTCCCCCAGCCTCTTTCCATGGTGTGTTGGACTCGTTTTCATTTCCAGAGGAAGCGCTGGGATGAGGGAGCGAGTCTGGGTGGCTTAGAGGATCCCTTGGTCTCCAGCAGGGAGTCCGGTCCCCTCCGCCCTGCGCCTCTGGGTGGCTTTGCCGTGTCTCAGTCACCCGCTCCTTCCTCGGCCTTCTACCTGCTCTCACTGCCGTTTTGGATTTCTGTTGGTAGAGAATGGTGGTAAAAACAAGTAAGCGACTCTAATTCACACCAAGTGCTTCATGCAAGCCAGGGGCTGTTGAGAGGGGAAATGGCATTGTCCCCTCAAAAACAGGGAGCCTGCAGCTCTAAGAGGCAGTGTGACAGCAGAGATGTTTTTGGTCACAACCAGGTATTAAAAATTAAAATGTTGAGGATAGTTCTGCCCGTTTCTGCAGCGTGAATAGGGGAAGCAGGTGCGTGTTGACGGGTCGAGCGTGGGGGAGGTGCCCGCGCCCCATTTCTTCCCGGTGTGGGGCCTCAGGTCACCCCAGCCCACCGTCATGGCCACTGCCAGAGAGGTGTCGTGTCCTGGGGGACAGACGTGGGGATGTGGGAAAGAGTGAAGAGAGAAAATCATGCAAGACCAGAGGACACTCTCTTAATAAATTATCTCATCACTGAAGAGTTAGTTACGTCTGAGGTACGTTGATCTCAGGGAGGAAGGGGCTCCGGGGAATCCGCGACTCTGCAGCCCGGCGTCTCTGCCTTGAAGTGCAGGTTCTGCTTCTAACCTTGTAGGCCTCTTCGCCGCATCCTTGTACGGGGTTCCGCAGGCCTGGATGGTGGAGCCCAGCCCGGAGCAAGCCAGGGACTCCTGGTCTGTAGTGGAGTGCTCCTCCTACGGCGGCCAAATGATGGCAGACTATGCCACACGGAAAATTCCGTTCGTGTGACTGGAAAATGAACCCACTACTCTGGACCCCAAGCCTTCTGCCTCCTGTGTGGCCGTGGCCCGGCGTTGGAGGTCCGTGACCCCAGGCTGTCTCAGAGCGCCCACTTTCCAGGCAGGCGAGCACCTTGCCCTTCTCCCCTGACGTCTGCACCGGCAACTTCTGGTCTAGTGCCCATCCAGGCGCAGCCAACGGTGTCACTGCTGTGCTTTAGAAACCAGTGGAAACCCCAGCAAAAGCCTCCCCGTCTGGCCCCATCACAGCACGACACCCCAGTTTTGCTTGCCCGTCTGCGGCCACTCTGTCCACCCCGGTGTCCTTTGGTAGCTCGTTCTAGTGACCCCCTCTGGAGTTCAGACTCTCTCGAGTGGAAATGCCACCATGCAGTGAGGTCCCTCCCTCCTATCCACCCTCGGCGCTCCCGTCCTGACCTGCCTCCCCACTTCCTCTGTTGCTACGCTCAACGGTTCCGAGCTGTTGGAAGCTTCCAGCTCCTCCTACTTTCTGGTTCCTTGAGCCCCACGGTGTTGTCAGGATGGCTGCTTACCTCCACGAGAGGAGCAGGGAGTCTGTGTCATTGTCCACATAAGGGGCGCTCAACGCGGCGTTTGCTGCTGGAACAGTGGGCACGCGCGTTCTCGGTGGCTGACGTGTTTCTCTTACTGTTCTCTTTCTCACACTCACCACTACTCTTGCTCCGATTCTGCCTCTCGGTGGATTATCTCTGTCCCAGGTGCTCTGGGCGCCCTGGGCCTCTGTGGGGCGCAGACTCCCAGCCTCTGCCCGTGGGCTGGGGGCTCCGTGGTGTAGAGGACCTCGGCCTGGTCTGGGGTGTGTAGATGGGGAAAGGCAGGCGTGCAGGCTGAGGCGCCCTGAGGTCCGGGGCTGAGAATGGACCATGTGGGGCTGCCAGGGCGACGGCCACGTGGACACGGAGCCCTGCAAGGCCTTTCTGTGTCCCTGATCTGCACTGTCACAAGGCCTCCCTCGGTCCCAGACTCCCTGTCCACGCTGCTCACGGGCGTGCCAGCTTGGTGTTTGTTGTAGGGACGCCCTAAAACCACCCAGTGGATAGAAAAGGATAGGGGGTCACATCTGTCATGTGCCGGTGACCACCACCACACGCCCCTGTCGGGAAGCCCTGTGAAGTGGACAGAATTCTCCCATCTCACGAAGGGACACGGCAGCCCAGAAAGATTAAAAGGCCTGTTCTAGAAGGTTCACTGGGCTGCCTTCACTGCAGCACACGTGCTGCGTGCGTCCAGATGGCGGGAACTCAGGCCGCGTGCGTCCAGATGGCGGGAACTCGGGCCGCGTGCGTCTGGACGCGGAGCTTGTGCTGCGTGTGTCCAGATGTGCTTGTCCACCCACAGCCCCTGAGACAACGTGGACTCCTGGGGTCTACTTTGCTGGGGAACTTCGAGCAGGACTGCGGCTCTGGACACGGCCGGGTGCTGCTGTCTAGGTCATACACCCCTGGGTCCTGGCACCTTCCAACCCAGGACGGCACTCGGAGCCTGCTGTGTCTCTCCCTGTTTGGGACAGTTGACCCTCCATCCCAAAGCCCACCTCCGTGTTTGCATCCAGGAGACCCCCCGGGCTGCGGCAGATGGGGTCCTGGGCAAGGCTCCCGGATGGATCTACCCACTGTCTTCCGGCCCCTTCTCTGTGAGGTGGAGCCGTCCTCAGTGGTGTGGACAGTTGAGACCGCGTGGCCTGACGAGGTGGAGCGAGCCCTCAGGCGTCCCCAGCTCTGAGCGGTTGCACCACTTGGGCCCTCTGAGTCGCATACTTGCGTCCCCTTCTCAGGCCTTTAATCCACATGCACGTGACCCCAGAACCGCACTCAGAAGCACACGGGCCCCCTTTGGCAGACTCACCCCCCCCACCCCTCCCAGCCAGGGCTCATCTGTTCTTGCATGGTTTTGGCACCAGACTTGTTCTGGGGTGAACCCGTACATGTTGAGTAGGTGACGTGCTGGCCTCTTAGTGTCCCCGTGTCTAATGTACGTGTTAACCCCTCCCACCACAGACCCCTCTGAGATGCCCTCTTTGTGAGGAAGGTGAGGTTCTGTTAAATACTCATTTTCGTTCCTCTCATAGAGCAGATAGAAAGCACTTGCTGTTTCCCTTGCAGCTTATTTACAGATGTGGTGGGAGGAGGGTGTGCTCCCTGGGGAGGACGGTTTGCCACCTGGGGAGGGGCATGTGCTCTCTGAGAGAAAGCTGTGCTCCCTGGGGAGGAGGCTGTGCTCCCTGGAGGAGGGTGTGCTCCCTGGGGAGGAGGCTGTGCTCCCTGGGGGGGAGGTGCTCTCTGGAGGAGGGTGTGCTCCCTGGGGAGGAGGTGCTCCCTGGGGAGGAGGGTGTGCTCCCTGGGGAGGAGGTGCTCCCTGGAGGAGGGTGTGCTCCCTGGGGAGGAGGCTGTGCTCTCTAGGGAGGAGGGTTTGCCCTCTGGGGAGGGGCGTGTGCTCCCTGGGAGAAAGCTGTGCTCCCTGGGGAGGAGGCTGTATGCCCTTGGAAGGAGCGTGTGCACTGGGGGGAGGGTGCACTCCCCGGGACCTCTCCCCCCCCTGGCTGGCTGGGGCTCTGTACCAAGGACAAGGATGGGGGTGCAGGAGCCCCCGGTGGGTCCTGTGCAGGAGCAGAGAGTGCAGCTTCTCCTGGAGTATCTGCGCCCTGCGGAGAGCAGCCGTGCACAGGCCCCGGTTCCCCAGGAAGCCCGCACGGGG